GGGGAGGGGGGAGGGAGGACGGGGAGAAGGGTGCAACAATGAATGAATGGAATTCCAAAATCTCTGTAGATGTTCATTGAAATGAAAAATAAACAAATTTAAAAAAAAGAATATGCATTTCTAACAAACTGATATTAGAGTCATAGCATTAACTACTGATTTGGGTCAAAAGATATGGGCTTTTCAATTTATCTCTAAATATGAAATGTTAAAACTCTAGAACATCTTAAGCAGCTTGAACTGACCTTTACTATAGCTTATTAACAAGGGTTATTTATGCTCTCACATAACACCCATTCTCAATGACTCTGTTATTTATAATCTACACAGTACAGGTCCATTGTTGTCTTTTCTTCTATCTCTTATTTCATACTGATCTGTAAGGTGAATTTGTCCTACAAAACAAATAGCACTAAAAATGATGTCTTGTTCAATATAAGCATCACAGCCAACTAGACTCCTAACATTAAGTCTATGAGATTTCATGTAGTAGACCCAACCCTCCAAATTTTGCCTAAAGGTCTTCAAATTACAGCATAGGACAGGGTTCAGATCTGTTGTTCATAGAATCTCTATGCGTTGAACTTAACTCTAGTCTCTATGAGATAAACTTAACTCAGTGGCAGCTAACAACAATCGCTCTACAACTGATTAAAAAATAACACTAATTTTAATTTTAAAATAAAATGCTAAATGCAAATAATAACAGGGTTATTTAAACATAAAGGAATAGAAATAGGATGGTGGTGCTGTGAATGTACTATTAAGTCGGAACTAATCCATAGCTGACCCTCGGTTAGGTTTTCAGAGGCAGTAAATTGTACAGAAGAAGCCGGCCCATCTTCCTGCCACAGAGCAGCTGGTAGATATTAATTGCATGCCTTTGGGTTGACAGTGCAGTTCCTTACCTACTAGGCCACCAGAGCTCCTTATGAGCGCTACAGCAGGAATAAAGCAAGAAATACAAGTAATTCCTCAAGTTTTTTCTCTGAAATAGAGCAACTTTGTCTATAGGGAAGGTAGGACTCCTTTAGGCCTGGGCTCACTGCAACTCTGACACTAGGGGTTCTATAAAGCCTCTGTCTCCTCATCTGTAAGAAAAGAGAGCAACTGCCCACTTCATGAGTTGTCCTCATGATTAAGTGAGAAGACAAGGTTAACCCATTTAGCCCAGAACCTTCTGAACATAGTAAAAACTCAGGAAGTGTAAGATTCTAGAATAATGCCACTGGTTCTGATTAAAGAACTTTAGAAGTATCTGAAGGTGACAGGAGGTTTTAAATCGGATTATTTTTCTATTATAAATCTTTGCAGTTAGGCTCAGCATTAATAGAAGGCCTTTCTCTGCTACACACACATATCTCTGAGTTTTTCATTCCATGTAGAATCAAAATATGGCATGTTCCTTTGCTGACCATCACTGTAATAATAAATACCAAAAGATGTTTACTCACTCCTCAAAGTACACAGAAGTATTCCTGATTATTATTCCTGTGAATCAGAAAGGAATGGAATAATTTTCCTTTGAAAGTGGAATTTGGCAGCAACTGGGAAAACAGTGGGTGGGTTGCCAAGGAGTGTGCTTAGACCCACCACGGGGGACGGGTGGGAATCATTCTTGGCTCCCAGTGAATTCCTTTGTTGTAGCCACTGTGGAATCCAACTCATAGCGACTCCATGCACAACATAATGTCTTACTCTGGAAACTCTGCAGAAATCTGTTAAGTATCAGATTTCATTAAAAAAGAAAATAATAATTCAACACATTAAAGCCCTAATAACTCAGAACAAAACAAAGACACCAAAGGGATCGGACAGAGAAGAACTGTCCCAGTTGGTTTCAAGGCTGTACTCTTTAGAGACGCATAAACTCTCACAACTTTCTCACAGAGAGCAGATGGTGGGTTTGAACCATGGACCTATTGGTTAGCAACTAAGTACTTAACCACGGTGTCACCAAGTCTTCTTATGATATACCTTTATAACATAAACCCCACTGATCTCTGGTCAATTCCGACATGTCACGACCTCTCACTGGGTTTTTGAGGCTGTAAATCTTTACAGAAGACTGCCTCTCATTTTCTAGAGGTTGCTCTCCATCAGATTCCTTACACATTACAAATTATTAATACTTATTCATAAACCACCAAGGTTTATTTTTATTCTAGAGGTCACATCTAAAAATCTAAAAATATTTCCTTTTTTAAACAAACTTACATTTCTGCTCATTTTTCTCCTCACTCCAACATTAGCAGGGAAACTGAAAAGCTCAAGGATGTCCTACTTTCATAAGCCTGAACCCCAAAGTTTCAGAAATAAGGTGTCTTCTGTCCTCGTGCCAGGAAAGCCCTTTCCTTTACCAAGACTTACTGAGCTTCAAGCCTTGGCTCTAGTGCTGCCTCCTCCTATCACCATCCATGCAATCTGGGCTGGGCTAGGCACCTACCTGTCTTGCTATCTCCCCACGCAAACAAACCTTTACCAGAATACTTTTGAAACCAGTAACAAGCATTTTGCTGTTATTGTTTACAGTTGCCAAGAGTCATTCTGCCTTTAAATGATCTCATGTGTAGAGAGTAGAAATGCTCCACAGGTTTTCAAGGCTGTGACGTAGAACATTTACTTACTAATATGCACATAATTTCAGATCAATTATTCTATCAGATGGTGAACTGTTCTTAAAGCCACCACTGCTGCCTGCTTACAACATGTCAAATACTGAACTGACAGGTCATCAGATGGGCACAACCTTATAGGAAAATATTATTCTCTTTCCAAATCCAAGGAAGCTGTGGTAGTTTGCCAAAGGATGTGCACCTGGAATGTGATAATGTGTGATTTCAATGTCAACTAATCTTAAAGTATCTGCTACAATGCACTGCCTTCTTACTGGGCTGTCTCCTATCCATTTTCTCTGAGTCTCTAAAGTCTAACACAATGCTTGGCATAAATTAAGAATTCAAAATCACTGACTAAATAAAGGTTACTTTATTTATTACTGATCTACTTCTATGCTGTGGATAGCCAGGCATCTTGTCATATGTGTCATTTTGAAATAACTTTTATCTCCAAATTTCAGTGACTCTGTACTCTGACACAGGTTTTCATGACACATTTTTATTTTTTTTACATATTTTTCTAAAACAAGATAGAAATAATTCTTTTTATTTTTTGTTCTCACAAAAAAGCTAAAATTTTTGTTTCTCTCTAATGCATTTGATGGTCCTGTGGTGGTAGGGTTTCACACTTAGCTCCCTGAGGCTCTAGGCTCCAGGTGCCCTCCAAGCAGACAGCCCACCTACAACATCAACAGCTGCATGAGCTATTTCTTCCTAAATGGGCATGGTAAGTCTACCCTCAAGGGGACTGGCTAGTGTCACCACTACATTGAGAAGATTCAGCAGCAGAGTTTGGGAACTGTGATACCAAGAAAGAAGAAGGTGAGAAAGTAGGGGTCCTAGGTTCCTGCTGACTGAGAAGCTTTGATTTTTATTTGACTTATTTGCCTTGATTAATTAAGGGACCATACCTTGCTATTTTCTTGTTGACTGAGAAGCCATCTAAATGAACTGAGGGACTGTATCTTGCTGTTGATCTAGCGTGGGATTGCTAATTACTGAACCCGGATTTCCACTGTGTGATATCATTTGTTTTCCCCTACTCCAACCTGTTTCCCCAATAAACCCCAAAACCGTGAGTCAAAAGAAATTCCGAACTGTGTGGTCATTTACAATGAATTTCCTACCTGGTAATTAGCAGAAGGTAAACTCTGATGGCTTAGTGGCAAGGAACTGTGCTGCCAAAACAAAGGAACATGGTTCAAAGCAACCAGCTACAGTATGGGAGAAAAATGGGCAGCCTCCCCTGTGATTTACTGCCTCTGAAAATCGACTGGTCAGTTCCAACTCGATGGTATGCAACAACAAAAAGCTCAGCAGAGTCAGGAGCCAGGGGTGGCAAGCATGTCTGACCTATTAGGGATTATGGATGTTATTGATGAGGACAATTCTCCCTTGTGAAGTTGGTAAAGTCATCTGCATATTATTAATGTTTTTTCACAGGTAGCAATGTGAAGTAAGAATAAGCCTAGTACTTGTTGCTTAAAAAAACAACAACCCACCCCCCCAAAAAAAATCCAGTAAAAAGAAGGTGAAGAGATATTAGTAACTTAAACATGGAGTCCCCAACCTGTGCACTCTATTATATGATAAATGAGATTTCTCAGTTGCACTGTTTGTAGCCAGCCCACAAAACTCAAAGCTAAAGCTCTTGAAAAATGATACTCATTTCATTAAGTACAATAAATTTTAAAGATACAG